CTATTTCTCTCTGTTTCATCTGGAAGTCCTCTTCCCTTATCTCTTTTGGCCTATCAGACTGATTTTAGGGGATGGCTTTGTTGAATTAATGGCCTAAAACTCTCTTTTTCTTCTGCTACTGTGATTCCCTTGTGTTTACTTTCCTGTTACCTGTGTTCCTTGTTTCTTGTTTTAATTTTCATTCATCTCCTTTGCTGCTTTCTTATTCTTCTCTCAATTTCTCTCAAACTCTCACCTCAATCTCGAATTCATCACTCAATATCTTTCAATCACACCCACTCCTCCAACATCCCATCTCTCCTCAAACCACAATCTCCTTGAAACACCATCCTCTTCTGTCTGGTGAGATCTGACCTTGTCACCTCCTTTGATCAACCAATCCAAATAATCCTCTCTTCATTCTCAGTCCTCTTCCACTTGTTTCTTGTCTTCTTCCAGTCTCACTTCAGCTCATATCTTCAGTCCAGCCATTCCATGACAACTGTTGGTTATTTCTTTTCTTCTCTTTCCTCATATTTCATTTATCTCATCTTTTGTGGCCGTGCCTCCTTCTTTCTTAAGATGCATGATTTCAACGCATGATTGCTCATCTAGAGGAAGCTTTCAATTCCCATCATAAATATACTCCTTCATGCCTGTTATCAATGCAATAAATAACTTGAAAAAAAAAACCTGAGGAACTTGAGCATGTCTATTTAATTACACAAAGGATATCACAGGAAATCTAGAAAAAAATAATCAGATCATAAACCAATTAACATAACATACAATACCAAATAACCACAATAAGAATGATAAAATATGATATATTGAACAATAAATCATACTATGAGAAGAAAGTTGAAATCATTTACAAATTACACAGTTTTAAATTGGCAAACAAAAAAACAAATATAACTTTGAGAACTAGAAGTTATCCAAGACTCATACAAATCTCAAGCAAATAAATTGATGGAAAATTTCCCAAAATACAACAAAAAATGCCTCAAGTGGAAATTGTCAGATTTTCAGCATAGGAATTTGTGAGTGAAAGAGGAGCTGAAGTGGGGTCAGGTTGAAGGGTGCTCGGACTAAATGCTTTATTTCATACATGAGGATCTTAAGTAGGAACAACTAGAGAGGCCCCTAGCAAGATCCAAAGGGGGCCTAGACAATGAACATGGACAGGTGACAGGTACTGGGACAGGAACAGGAACAGGGTAAGTAAGACCACTTGGTCAGACAGGAACAGGAACACAGGCCAAATGGCCAGGACAGAGACAGGAACAGGAACAGGAACGGGGAACAGGGACAGGTACTAGAAAACAGGAACAGGAACGGGAATATGAGAGAAAGGGAAGGAGGGTGATAAATGGTTGAGGAAGAGAGCATGAGTGTGCAAACAGATTGGAATTCTGACATGAAGAACCCGACAAAACATTCCCATTGGCCACAAAATTTGCCCTCTTGCAATGCAAGTTTGGATGAACGTGTTGAACTTGCAAAGAAGGAGGACAAGGTTGAGGAACGCAATTGGGGGGAAGAGGAGATGAAGAAGTATTCCAAACAATGTTCCAAATGGAAACTTGTTTGGAAGATGAATGAGGTGGATGGGGAGTGTTGGAGACTTGGTCTGCAGGACAGAAGGTGGAATTGTCATTGTCAGCTTGGCGGGGAATATACGAGTATATTAAATCTGAACTATGACAAGAATAAAAGTTTGGGAGATTTATAATGTAAAGAATCCAGAGACTTTATGCAGGAATTTTCAATGTGGAAACTAGCAGGTGCAGGAGACAGGTAATTTTGCACAAAAATATAATCAGGTTTTGTGCGCAAATAGCAGGTAAGTTTTTGGAAAATAGGCTGCTTTGAATTTTTAATGAATGAGTAGAATTTGAACTCCACAATCCACAAAGTAAAACTTTTAATTCATAATTCCATAACACATAGAAAATTAAAATTTTGAAAAGGTCAAGGTTTTCATCCCGGATGTTGACATATATGATGTATGCGATTCTAAGTACATAAGCGTATAAAAAATAAAAATAAAAGTAAAAACTCTCCCAGCTTTTCGAGAAAGACAATAAGTAAATATTTATTTTGTTAGTTGGTTGGTAGAAACCTGGCAGAATTATCTGACTCGGAATTACCCTCGGGGAGTTGCTTGTCCTGCCAAGTCGGGTTCCGTTTAGTTCGGTCCCCGGTCAGTCCAAGTCTTCACACTTTCATCGCAAAGACTCCGAAAAATCCGAACATAACAACATCAACCACTTCAAATTCTATCATGAACGATATCTCATTCTCACCTTCATCGTCATCCGATTCAGATGCAACATCCTCCGCATCCTCCTCAAGCTCATCGTCATCCTCAACCATTCAAAATCAACTCGTCCACAAGATCATCTATTCTGTATGTAATACCAACTCAGCCTCCCTCGCAATTCAGTTGGAAACTGACAACACTTTTGCCTTCAGGCTGGTCTTGACTACCAATCTCATCCACTACTCGTTATCTCCGCTTCCAGTTTCCCGCCCCAGCTTCCAGCCCATCTGACCATCCACTCACTCACCCAACAGGCCCTCGGCCTATTCTCGCCTATCATCTCAAACGGACCATACTCCTTGATCATATTTGCTTCTCCAGCCGAACATGCACCAACTCTCAAACAGATCTTGTCCTCCTATAAGCTACTCGATAGGTCCTCCAGGAAGAACCTCAGCGAACTGTGGGTCGTACATCCTACCTTTTGGGCAAAGATGACTGTCAAGGTCTTCCTCAAGACCATTGTCAGCTGGAAAATGTCTCGCAAGATCAAATGGGTCAAGGATCTCTCAACACTCGCAAATTTGGTACCCATTCATCAGTTCAGTCTCATCTCTATCTGGGATACGCATGTCTTGGTCAAGACTAACATTATACTCCTTACAAAAAAAAGGGTTTGCATCCCTCCAGAGGTCTACAAGTACAACCTGACTATCGAGCCATCTATAGTCGTTCCATTACCATCTCGACAGCCTCCGGTATTTAAAGTCTCTTTAGAAGAACTGATGGGTCCCGATGGTCAGAATGGGATCCCTCTGGTGATTCAAGATTCTGCAAACTGCATTAGGTCGTCTGGTCAGCATATCTTTCCGTATAACAACATACATGGGTATACTTACTAAGACAATGTGAAAACAGGAATGAAGTTTGAGGGACTTTTCCGCAGGCCGCCTTCTCTAACCACCACTAATATCATCAGGGATGCCTACGACCGACGACAACCAGTCAAGATGGAAGATTACCAAGACGGACCCTTCCTGGCTGCTTCATTGATCAAATTATTCCTACGAGAGCTACCGGAGCCCATATTTCCGGCCGGGTTCTACCCACTCTTTAGAGCGTGTCCTTCCATCCACCCGCAACCCATCATCCTTTCTTACCAAGCTCATTCTTCCCTTACCCCCCACAACGAAGCCGTCCTTAAGTATGTACAAGATAACGTTTTGGCGCATTTGAAATCGAAATCGGCTTCAATCCTACTCGATTACGTCTTGAAACTATGTCATGATTTAGCTCTTCACTCAGGTCATTAAACTCCTATAACCCTTCCGTTTTCCATGAACCTGCGCCTGACTTGTGATCCCCGAACATCATTTGATTCAGAACACAACAAGATGGATGCTCATAATTTGGCCACTTGTTTGGCTCCAACAATGATCAGATCAAGTGACTTGATATCCGATGCAATGATGTGCAAGCTACCCAGCCCATCATCAACCAGGAAATCGCCTAATTTGGGAGCTCAAGATATCAAAGGACCCACTAGCTTTACATCCATTTTGAAGATCATGATTTCTTGGTGCGTTTTTTTTTGGTGACATACACCCCGACACTTACAATCCCCTCTTTGAAATTCATATTGCTCTTATTACCCAATCAGCTATCCGCTACTATTCCAAGAACCACAAGATCACAATAGTCCGACTTGTTCGAGTCTATGTAGTCTGAGTCACTCACCAGACCTTCAAGACAGCCAATCTACTATGGACTCCTCTCTCATCTCCTATCGGCCATCGCTTTATGAAATGCCACAAACCACAACGATTTTCGAGCCCAAAGAATATTCCAGTACCTTGCTTCACAATCTGCTCTCTGTTCGACAGCCCCTCGCGAATCATCTCTCTTTGCGCTGCACTATCTCACAGGTCGGCCTCTCACACGCGTTTTCGTTTTCTGATGGCCGGCGCGGTGGTCTTAATGGGGCTCGTCCTGCGAACGTGATGGGGGTCTGTCGGGACGAGAAACAAAAGTTTACGGCGGTCCATGCCGGTGAGACTCAGATGACACACCCCTCGCACGGCTTATCATCACTATCACCCATCGTTGTGCCCCTTTCCATCTTGTCCCCACCATCCTCCACTGCTGTGGTTCAACCTTGCAACAACATTCCAACCTCTTGCTCTCTCCCTCCTGTCTCTCCCTCAACTTGCCGGCCTCCCTCTCACTCGTCTCCAGCTTTTCTTCTCAATCATCAGCCCCACCCCGCCAACTTTTCAGACTTGAACGAACTCGACTGAATTCCCCTCTTGTCTTAGTATTTCGGTTGCCCCTACTTTTCGTTCTTCTTCATTCCTGGCTTCCTCCCTTCAATCGCATTCTGAACTTTCGCCCCCCCCCCCCTTTTTCTTCTTATGGACATTTTGCTTCTCAGACCTCACCGGCGATGTATCCTCTCCTTCGGTATGACTCTCTTCCTATTGCCTTTTTAAACATTTTCTTATGTGTCTTGACAGCGGACGTGTCCTAGCTATGTAGGATTGGTCTCCTCCTTTCTCTCTTTTTCTCGTTTGTACTATTACCTGTATCGTTACCATGTACTTGAACACATCCCTCACTAAATCATGTCGTCCTTTTTTGGTCTTGTATTTCTCGTTTTCCTCGGACTTAACTACACCTCAACTGGAAAGGCTTTTCTCGGCTTGTTTCACACTAAGGGAAGGAATTTTTGAGATGCTAATCTCTTAAATGTTTGTATGGGCAGATGGCCGAGTGGTCTAAGGCGCTAGTTTTAGGAAGCAGTCATGCACGCATGTTCCGAAATCACTAGTCTTCGGGCGTGGGTTCAAATCCCACTCTGCTCACGTCATCGGAGTGATATGTTGGATAATTTTTGCTGGAAGGCTGCCAGGCGTGCGAATCGCCTTTCCGATAAGTCTTCTATAATGTGTATTGGTTTTTTTTCGGCCTTGCGCTGATTGTCACTTTCTTGTCCAAAGGACTGGTGAGCCATGCACGCACCTTCCATCTGGTGAGATTTACACAATAACTCACCTATGTATTGTGTTTGCAAGAATCATCTGGCTGCTTGGTAACCAGCCAAGTTATGCATTTAGAATTTTAGTTTCTTCCAGGATTTTGTTTCTGCCCAAATTTCAAATCCTCTATGTCATCACTTGTCAAACAACTTGTCCACCCACATCAACCTTAACCAAACTTTATGCAAGTAGATATGAACCTTCCTCAATGTTCATACATACCACTCCTTGCCTGTTCTTTCTCTCCCCCCTTCCCCTACCTGGTTGTGTTCTTGCCCCCCCCCCCTCAAGAGTCCACACACCCCAACATATTCAAGTTAATCACTTGGCAATCACTCTGAAGAAGGCAGACACTGTCAACTCTTTCAAATGCCTAGTCAAGAAGTATGTCTATGTCAAGAAAATGTGACTTATGCCAGCCAAGTTCCTTGTTTTTACAGGTATTTTATTGCTTTACACTTGTGTTATTAAAATCAATAGCTGATTGGTATTATCTTCCACAATGACACAGATAAAAGTGCCATATGTGATCAAGATTTACCTTGGACATTTGCATGTGCGTCTTGTGGAGCTCCAGCAACTTAAACCATCATACGTCAAAATCTGGAGAGGTTCAGCCTGTTGCCAGTAATATCAATCAAAAGAGTAATTGCTATGACGGTGCAAGAGTACAGCATTAATACCAAACAATTTGAATATTTTTTAAAATGGCACCTGGTATGTTGTGATCCTCCCACTTCCTATTGTTTGTTTTGTTGTAATCTAACTGGTTTTTTTTTTGGCTCCCCCGCATGAATAGGTATCCAGGCCCCAACTCTGTGCTTGTATGTGATAACGCAAAGGTCCACAAGGGACGCCAGGTACAGCAACTTTGCAATGATGCAGGGGTCTTGCTGATATTCTTGCCACCTTACTGCCCAAAGCTCAATCCTATTGAGCTCTGTTTTGCAGCAATCAAGGGTCAGCTTCACAAATCTCAAGCCTTTTCTCTCACCCGGGATCCGGAATGGGAAGTCTGGAAAACAGCCGCTGATGCCATGACTCAAGACGTTTGTGGTAGCGTATACCAGCATTTTGGTTAAAATATGATACTGATACTCTTCCTCTTGATGTTGCATCCTATGCAGCTGATGATGCTTCATTTGAATACTCTCAGCCTGAGACCAAAAAATTGATCTTATGTTTAAATTTACAATATAATTTTTCAACTCTCCGGGGGATTACCTTAACATGGGTAGCGGAAATTAGTCCAATACTTTGAATTGGAGAAAAAAAATTTGGTTGATTTATTTGGGGGTTTAACTTCAACAATTGATAGCAATTGTAAAAGGAAACAAATCATCATGACCAGGAAGTGATCAGATAGTCAACTCTCCGGGGGATTACCTTAACATGGGTAGCGGAAATTAGTCCAATACTTTGAATTGGAGAAAACAAATTTGGTTGATTTCTTTGGGGGTTTAACTTCAACAATTGATAGCAATTGTAAAAGGAAACAAATCATCATGACCAGGAAGTTATCAGATAGACAGGCGGCACAGAGATCAGGCAGAAGCAGGCAGATAGTGATAGCCAAATTCTGAGACAAGAAAAGGCAGGATTGGGAGTCATTAAAACAGGCAGTGAAAACTTTCACTGCCAGCAGGCAAGTGAATATAAAGCAGGAAAATAGGAAACCCAGACAAGAAAAGGAGTGAAAACAGTCACTGCCGGCAGGTAAGTGAATATTGAGCAAGCAGAAAGGAAAGTGAGACAAGAACAGGAATGATTGGGATTCAGGAAAACAGATGGTGACCACACGCCGGCAATTTAATATCAATCAGGCAGACGGGAAACCAAGACAAGAACAGGCAGGATTGGAATTCAGTATGCAGGAGAGAGACAATATGCAGGCAACCAGGAGTTGGAAGGACCAGAGGGCTGGATGGATGGAGCATGTGGAGAATCTGAGTCAGATGATATGAAAATTGATAAGATATAATTTGCAAGAATAAGAAGGGAAATGAGTGAAAGTACCTAGACAAGACATTCATCTTGGGCCACCTGTTTTTCAGAGCCTGTGCAGGAAAGTGCCTTTTCTTACTCGGCAATGTGTTCAAGTAAGTCAGGCTATGTGTGTGTGTGTGGGGGGGGGGGGGGGAGGGTGAATGTCAACACTGGGTTTGACTTCAACCTACAAAACAGAAATAAACCATGCATGAATATGTTTCCTCATTGATAAAAAATAGTTGAAAAAGAACTCACCAAGGACTTGGCCCATTCCTGACAGTTTGCCATTTTTAAGAGTATGTACTGTCTTGGGCCGGCTGGGTTAACATAGACAGGCAATTTTTGGTTGTATGAACTGTTGAGTGGGTGAGTGGAGTACAAAAGCTTCATCTTAATGTTAATCCAATCTTCCTCATCATCATCAGACATCAAAAACTCTTCCTCCTCATTGATAACCCAAGCTCTACAATTCCAGCCACTGCTCTGGCATCTTGAGAATTCCTTGCACACTGGAAAATGATATTGGCCTGCCTTTCTTTCTTGATCAAATCTCTGGGATTGGTCATCTTCAAAAGTAAGCTGACTGTCTCCTGACCTTAAATTGTAGCCACATCAAGCCAGTTGGTGTATTCATTGGAAAAAGATAAAACCTTACTGTCAGATTTGGTCCAGCCGGAGTGACAAGGGATGGAAGCAATCCATTTCAACTGTGGAGATCTAGTTTCATGGGATTTTTTGACTAAGGTTGCTATGTTGGCAAATTATTTCTTGCACGCAGCGACCACAATTTGTTGGAATCACATGTAACCTGTAGAGACTGTGAAAATGAATATGTGTCTGGTGGGACTCAAACCCATGAACTCAGCAATGCTGAGACACATACTAGAGTTCTGCCTTATCCAAATAGGCTACAGACGCTTGTGGTGGCCATGGTTGTTGGGCAGTAGTGGTCATGGTTCAACTGAGGTGATACAT